ATGAAAGGAAGGCTTTTCACTTTCTACCTTCTATGTTGCTTAGGGAATTTTTAAAACCACATGCATATATATTTTTTTAACTTAAAAAGAAACAATTGAATGTTTTTTAAAAGTAAAATAGTAGATGCTCCCTAAAAAAGGAGAAGGAGGAGGAGGAGGAGAAGAAGAAGAAGAAGGTATAGGCCTGGGCTTGACTACTCATCATGAGCTGCCCACTTAGGAATTTATAATCAGGTCACCCTATGAGGTTACTTTCCATAGAACCCCCTTCCCCCCTCCATAGCACATAATTAAATTTGGTTTTCTCCTGTTAACCTGTCTTATGCCAATTTGATTAGACCAGCCAAAGAGCCTAGAAGAGTAGGAGGAAAATGTTTCTGCCCCTTAATTTGAAATATTGAAAAGGTGCACAGAATATAAGTTTGTGATATTCATGCATTCTTTCAACAAATACATACTGAGAACCTCTTAGGAACCAAGTATATAACAGAATAGAGTGATGTTTAAGTAGTATGATGCACTGACACAAAGAAATGTGACATAATTATTAAAATACTAACTAGAAATACTCATAGGAAAGTGCTCATGAAACAAGGTAAAGTAGAGCACACAATTTTATAGAGACCATGTAAAACAATGTACAAATTGTAAATCATAATAAGTCCACTAAAAAAAAGATTTCAAAGGAGTGGTCATAAGGATGCTTTCCAAACTTGAGTAAAATAGAGGAACTTAGGGAGAACTTCAACGGAGAATTAGAAAGTATAAGAAAGAGCCAAGCAGACCTAAAGATTACAATAACTTGCCCTAACCGGTTTGACTCAGTGGATAGAGCGTCAGCCTGCGGACTGAAGGGTCCCAGGTTTGATTCTGGTCAAGGGCATGTACCTTGGTTGCGGGCACATCCCCATTAGGGAGTGTGCAGGAGGCAGCTGATCGATGTTCCTCTCTCATCAATGTTTCTACTCTCTATCCCTCTCTTCTTGGCATTGACTCCACGAGATGTTGAAAGACGATTCGAGGAATCTGACACCACGCCTGATGAGTAGCGCTGTCCAGTTCTGTGAGATTTGATGGCTGTGGAACCAGCTGCCTGATGGCTCTTTTAACTTTGTCCCACAAATGCTCAATTGGATTGAGATCTGGTGATTGTGGGGGCCACCTTAGCAAGGTAAAGTCTCCCTCGTGTTCTTGAAACCACTCCTGCACAATATGAGCACCGTGGCATGGCGCATTGTCTTGTTGGAAGAAGCCATCTCCATTGGGATACGCCATCAACATGATAGGATGAACTTGATCAGCAATGATACTTAGGTATGTTGTGCTATTCAGACATTTATAATGGTCTGGCCCTCTAGCAACTTTAGTGTGAAATTATAGCTAATTTGTCTACAAATGTCAGGTGGTCATAATAATCTGGCTACTCAGCATATATGCTGAGTGAAATGAAAACCACATTAGCAGGAATTAACAACAGATTAGCTAACACAGAAGAATGGCTCAGAGGCCTGGAAGACAGACTAGTGGAAAACAACCATTCAGAACAGAAGGAAAAAATAATTGAAAAACACAAGGATAGTTTAAGGGACTTCTGGGATAGCATCAAGCACTCCAACATTCACATTATAGAGATCCCAAAAGGAGAAGAAAGAAAGAAAACAACAGAGACTTTACTTAAACGTATAATGGCTGGGTCCTGGCCAGGTAGCTTAAATGGTTAGAGTGTCTTCCGGATATGCCAAGGTTGTGGGTTCGATCTCTGGTCTGCAGGGCACATACAAGAATCAACCAATGAATGCATGAATAATAAATAAGAGGAACAACAGTCAATGTATTTCTCTCTAATAATTTTTTTAAAGGAAATAATGGCTGAAAACTTTCCTAACCTGGGAAAGGAAGCAGATGTCATGGTGCGGGAAGCACAGAGAGTTCCAAACAAGATGAATCCAAAGAGACCCCACCAAGACATGTTGTAGTTAAAATGGCAAAAGTTAAAGATAAAGAGACTATTTTCAAGGCAGCAAGAGGGAAAAAAAGAATTACATTCAAAGGAAATCCCATAAGGCTATCAGCTGATTTCTCACAAAAATAAATTCAAAATGGATTAAAGACTAAAATGTACAGCCCCAAATCATAAAACTAGAAGACATAGGCAGTAAACTCTTTTACATCACTCTTATCAATATCTTTTTGGATATGTTCCCCCTGGTAAGAAAAACAAAAGAAAAAATAAACACGGTACTACATCAAGCTAAAAAGTGTTGCAGTCCTAGCCGGTTTGGCTCAGTGAACGTTGGCCCGTGGAGTGAACGGTCCCGGGTTCAATTCCCGTCAAGGCATGTACTGTGGTTGCAGGTTCCCCAGCCCTGGTCGGAGTGCATGCAGGAGGCAACCAATCAAAGTGTTTCTCTCACAGCGATGTTTCTCTCTGTCTCTCCGTCTCCAACTCTTTCTAAAAATCAATGGGAAAATATCCTCAAATGAGAATTAACAAAACAAAAACAAGTTTTGCACAGCAAAGGAAACCATCAACAACAAAAAAAGACAACTTACTGAATGGAAGAAGATACTTGAAAATGATTTATCTGATAAGGGGTTAATATTCAAAATATGTAAAGAACTCACATAACTCAACATCATAAAACAAACAATCCAATTAAAAATTTGGCAGAAGACCTAAATAATAATTTCTCCAGAAAGAACATACAGATGGCCAACGGACATATGAAGATGCTCAGCGTCACTAACCATCAATGTGAATCAAAACCAAAATAAGAGTCCTGGCCAGTGTGGTTCAGTGGTTAGAATGTTGGCCTGCACAAGGGAAGGTCTCAGGTTCTATTTCTAGCCAAGGGCACATACCTGGGTTGCAGGTTCCATCTCTGCCTGCCCCCCTCCCCCCGTTGGGGTGAGTGTGGGAGGCAACCAATAGGTGTGTCTCTCTCACATTGATGTTTCTCTCTCTCTCTCTCTCTCTCTCCCCACCCCCTTCTCCACCCCCACCTTCCTCTCTTCCACTCTCTCTAAAAGACTCAACGGAGCCCTGGCCGGTTTGTCTAGGTGGATAGAGCGCCGGCCTGTGGATTGAAGGGTCCCAGGTTCAATTCCAGTCAAGGGGCGTGCAGGGGGCAGCCAATCAGTGATTCTCTCTCATCATTGATGTTTCTCTCTCTCTCTCCTTGTCCCTTCCTCCCTGAAATCAATAGAAATATTTTTTTTAAAGTAAAAAATAAAAGAATCAGTGGGAAAATATCCTCACTCCTCGAGTGAAGATTAAAAAAACCCCCAAACAACACAATGAGATACTCACCTCAGCCCTGGCCAGTGTGGCTCAGTTGGTTGGAGAGTTGCCCCATGCCCCCGAAAGTCACAGGTTTGATTCCCAGGGGCGCATATGGGAGGCAAGCAATTCATGTTTTTCTCTCACATTGATGTTTCTCTCTCCCCCCCTTCCTGCCTCTCTAAAATCAATTCAAGAAAGTGGTTGTAACAGGATTTTTAAAAAATCAACAAACAGCAAGTGTTGGTGAGGTGTGGAGAAAAGGGAATCCTCGGGCACTGTTGGTGGGATTGTTAACCGATATGGCCACTATAGAAAACGGTGGAATTTCCTCACATTAAAAACAGAGCTGCCGGATGGCCCCGCATTCTGGGTATTTAGCTGAAGACATTTACATCCCTGTGTTCGTTGCAGCATTACCTACAATAGCCAGACACGAAACAACCTAAGCGCCCACCGATGGACAAACGTATGAAGAAAACGGGATGCATGTCCAAGGGAACATTACTCAGCCACGAGAGAGAACGAGCTCTTGTTATTCGCAGCAGCATGGATGGACCTAGTCCGAGAGGGTATTACGCTAAGTTAAACAAGTCAGACAGAGAAAGACAAGTACCATATAGTTCCACGTATATGTGGAATCTGAAAACGAATGAATACACAAAATAGAGAGAGAAAAAAATGAGAATAAAGTCTGATGGGGTGCAGGAGTGAATGGCTTTATTGCGCCTCGGGACCCTGCCCCTCAGGCTCTCCTTCGGAGACCGCGCCTCCGTCCGTAACGCTATCACCTCCGTCCATAATGCTCTCGATCCAGGCCGCGTAGCTCCCCAGCCGAGTGTAGATGCCTGGCTTCCTGCGGTTGCCACACACGCGGGATCCTGAGGTGACCATGCCCTCGGCCACGCCGTTGCACACCAGAGGGCCCCCAGAGTCACCCTATGTGAGAAAGGGCCGTGAGCGGGTGTTTATCTCCCCCCTCCCCCAACAACCCAAGAGTCCCCACGCTCTCCGGTGTCACGCCGAGCTCGACCCCTGCAATTCCCGCTCCTCCCTCCAGCCCAAACCTACCCCCTCCCCGTGTGTCAATCTCCCCAGGCCCCACCCACCACCGCAGGCCCCATCCACTAAGTCCCTGCCCTCCAAACCCCACACTTCAATGCCCCGCCCTCCCCCAGCCCCACCCCTCTCATGGGGCCCACCTCCCGGAGGCCCCGCCCTATTGCCCTAAGGGCAGGGACCAAGACTGAATGTCAGCATACCCACAGATCCGGCACATTCCCAGCCACTGATTCCTAAGTTGAAAAGGATGCACATGAATATTAGCAGTGACCAATCAAAGCATAAAATAATGTCCCTGGATATATCCTATTAGCCCTCAGAAACCTACCAGAGTGGCGTTCTCAGACAGCTGGGGGCGGGGTGAGACGCGTGTCAGGGCTGCGGGGAGAGCATGCAGCAGGAGGGACTGTGGCTAGACTCTGTGGGACCGGCAGGGGGAGGTGGGCATCAGGGTTGGGGGTCTCATGCAGCCAGGCTTGGCCGACCTGCAGCAGAAGGAGGTCGTGGTCGATGGTTTCCCGCCGGCTGCCCGGGTGGAGCACTGCTCGGGACACATTGTACCGGCGCTTGGAGAGTTCAGGTTGCGACAGGGAGTGCGCGCCTAGGAGCACCGTCACCGTCTCATTGGGCCTGGAGCTGGGGCAGGGGTCCATGTCAGATCCACGTCCCACCCCCGACCTCGCTGCGCTCAGCACCCACTGCTCAGCCACCAGGAAGCCGCCGCACACGTGCGTGCCGTTCACCTGCACCGATGCCATGTAGGGCCGCTGGTGGGGCGTGGCCTCGCTGCCGCCCAGGATCCGGCCCCGGGGCTGTGCCCCTGGGTGCAGGCAGATGGGCGTGAGGACTCCACGGGTGACGGCAGCCCAGCCCTCAGAGGCCCCCTCAGGCCACCCCAGCCCCCCTCAGACCTGGAATTTCATCATTGGAGCCCCCACCCCAGGGTCATAAATTCAGCTGCCTGGGGGAACAATAAATAGGGAGTAGCAGGGTCGGGGCAAATTCCATTCTACATATTGAGCCTAACAGTTTTGATTGAAACATAAGAAAAGTGGGGTAGACCAAACCAACACTCCTGGCAGCCACTGAACACGCGGGCTGCGCGTTCTGACTGCGGGGAAAGCTTGCATTTCAGACCCAAGCTTTGAGAATCCCCAGACTTCCAGAGCCTTCCATTCACCTGGGCGCTGCCCCCTTTCTGCCTACCTAGTGGGGTTGGGGGACAGTCCTTTCTGCCTGATGGAGGGGGCCCCATGGCTGACCACCCCGCAGGCTGGTGCCCCCCTGCTGTCAGCCCAGTCCCAGGCCCACTCTCACCACACAGGGCCACTCCTAGAAGGATCAGAGCCGCCAGGCGCACGGAGAGGTCTGTCATGGTGCTGCCGTGGCCTCGACACTGACCAAGGTGGGGCCCTGGGAGACTCTTATGAGAGGGGAAGGCGGGGCGGCTCCCACTGGCCCTATCTGCCCAATGGCAGTGGCCCAGCTGGGTCAAGGGGAGCCCGCCAGTCTGCTTCCGCCCGCCTCGAGATGAGGTTATCGTCTGTTGGACTTTGCACCGTGAGGGCTGCCTCCTGCCTCTGGGTACCTAGCCCAGAGCTGACCCTGGTGCGGGGAGCAACCCCTCGGGATCCAGGAGCAGAGCCGAGGGATGGAGCCCCCCCCCCCCCCCCAGCACCCCGGCCAAGTCTCCCACAGCGTCCTTCCAGCCCTCAAGTTTCGCAACAGCCGCTGAAGGCCACAGCGTGTAAACAACCCGTTTCCTCGTGTTTTTCTTTTCTTTTTTCTGCACCTCCCTCCTTTGTCTTCCTTCTCCAACTTGGAGAGGCAATTGGGTGGGGGAGGAAATAGGGTCACCCTACACCTTGTCGCCATTGCTGTGCCTCTGGGTCCTGACACCCCAACCAGTGGAATGTTGGAAAGGTGCAGTGTAGGGGCAGCTGGAAAGACCGTGCCTTCAACAAGGAAATTTTAATGGGAAGCTCAGGTCTGCCTTCAGGTGTGGCTCGACCCAGGCGCCTTGAACAATGTCAGGTCTTTGCTGCTAGTTTCCCACTTCCTCCTGATGGCTTCCCTCCTCACCAGGCTCCCCTATTGTGGTCCCAGGAACCCCAGACTCAGCCCAGTGGCTCAGCGGGCTCCTGCTCAATTCCCCATGACATCAGTGTCTGCAGCTGCCTCTGCTTGGCTGAGCCTGGATCACAGGCCCCTCCCAGGTTCTGAAGAGAAGAAAGGTGGCGGCAGGTGCTGGGACCAGAGGGGAGGGGCAGACCTTGAATATCCCCAGTGGGAACAGTGCACAATACTTTCCCCTCCTTTTTTTTTTTATCTCCTCACAGCAGATTATTTCATACGTATACAAAAGAATAGAAAATGACAAATGGGATCTGTTAGATCCTAACAGTTTCCTTATTAAAATCAGAAGTTCTGAATGAATGCCCATGAGGAGATGGGAGTCCGGATTATGTAAGAATGTTCAAAATTGCAACAAAATTTGGAAATGACCTAGGAAGATGGTGTGGTTCCATAAACAACCCTGAACATCTCCAGATGTCGTGTGGACAAGGGAAGGCCGCCTGGGTATAGTATTAAGTGGGAAAAGCAGGGGAGCTAGGCACCTTCCTGAGCAGCTGGCACCCGGGGGCGGCTGGGTAAGGGGAGCGCCTGCCGGCAGAGAAAACAACCAAGGCAGAGACCCCGAGGGGAACCCAGGGGGCTGAGCTCCAGAGGGAGGGCGTTTGGGTCCAGGGGACCGAGAGGGAAAGATTTATCCCAAACTCATGGTGTGTGTGTGTGTGTGTGTGTTGGGGTGTGGGTGTGGGGAGGAGCTCAAAACAGTTAGTTTTATCTGTTTCCAAAAGAAAGGTCAGATGGTTAAAAAAAATCTTGGATACTTGATTATGCAACTTGAAGATAATCAGTGAGGCTTTGGTCAAGTGTTTAAGAAACCAGTGTGGAGAAAACCAGAGGGAGATGCAGTAAGCGGGTTTGGTCTTTACCACAGGGGCTCTCTATAAAGCCGTTTCACCTGGAGTGGGTGGAGAGGATAAGATGTGTGTGAGTGGATGAGTGTGTATGTGTGCGCGCGCACATGTGTGTGTGTGTGTGTGTTGGGGTGTGTGTGTGTGTGTTGGGGTGTTACTTATTGTCACTCCGCTCATGTATTTGTTTGCCTGGGTGACTATCTCCTCCCCCATCGTCAGACTCTAGGCTGCATGATGGCAGAGGCCATGTCTGTTGCGGTCCCCACCCGTGGCCCCAGAGGGCTCCCATGGGACCAGGAAGACGAAAGAGGGTACAAGTCAGTCATGTCACCCCCAACCCCCAGAGCAGCAACTCCCACCGAGGCTGGGGGATGCCTTGGGAATCTTCTGCTCTGCGCCTCCCCACTTGTCAGAGCAAAGGGCTGGGGAGTGGGGAAGGGCTTGTCTCTGTCACCAGTGAAACCCCCGTCCCTGGCTGCTCCCTTCCCGGACAGCACTCACTCCTCCCACAGGGAAGCAGGGGTTCAGAGACGGCCGCCAAGTTGCCCAAAGTCAGAGCTGGGGCTCGAACTCAGGCTCCTGAGAAGGGCTTCGCCTCTCTGCACCTCCGCTTCTCTGTAACACAGGGCACCGAGGGGACCCGCCGCAGGGGCCGGAGAGGAGCCGACACTTGCAAAGACTGAGGTTGATTCCTGCACCTGGTGAGCACTCAGCAAACACCTGCTACAGCGGCTTGTGTCGTGGCCACTTGTAACTCTAACTTAATCATGTGTGAATGCGTTTTACAGGAGGGAAGCCAGAAATGGCAAGTGGCATCCTTTTGTGCCAGGATGGGAAGGAACTTCTGACCCCAATGCCCTGGTTTTGCTGCCACCTGGTGGCAGCATACTTGTGAGATGCCCCAAACACTCTCCTAATTACTTTTTCTTTTTAATTTCTTTATTGATTAAGTTATTGCACATGTGTCCTTATCCCCACATTACCCCCCATCTCCCCACTCATGCCCTCACCCCCCTGTTGTGTGTGTCCATTGGTTAGGCATATAGGCAAGCATATAAGTCCTTTGGTTGATCTTTTCCTCTTACCCCCACCCTCCCCTACCTTCCCTCTGAGGCAGTGGTTCTCAACCTTCCTAATGCCGCGACCCTTTAGTACAGTTCCTCATGTTGTGGTGACCCCCAATTTCATTGTTACAAATTGAACATAATTAAAGCATAGTGATTAATCACAAAAACAATATGTAATTATATCTGTGTTTTCCGATGGTCTTAGGGGACCCCTGTGAAAGGGTCGTTCGACTCCCAAAGGGGTCGTGACCCACAGGTTGAGAACCGCTGCTCTGAGGTTTGAAGGTCTGATCGATGCTTCTCTGTCTCTGGATCTGTTCTAACTACTTTCAATCTCCAATTGCACAACCAACAAACACCCAGACACATTCTACAAAACAGAGAAGGTTTTTATTCTGCCAGATGCTGCGTGAGGCAGCATGGATGGGCCTGGCCAGGGGCAGGTGAGGTGGGGTGACTGGGGCAGCCCTTTCTAGTGGCTCCTACTTGCAGGGTCCCTGGGGTGGAGAGGAGGGCGGTCGCTGTGGCTGCGGATGATGGAGTTGATCCAGTTTGCATACTGCGCGACGGGGGCAAAGGCATCTGGGAAGAAGCCGGAGCCGCAGCTTCCTCTGATGAAGGAGTCGATCCCGTGGATCAGCCCGTTGCAGACCAGGGGCCCGCCGGAGTCCCCCTGTGCGGGGCCAGGTGAGGTTAGGGGGCTAGGCTCCCAGGGCCCCCCACCTGCCTCCCTTCGGGGCTGGGGAGTCCTCCTGGCACCTGGCTTGCAGTCCTGGTGGCTGAGGCCGGGTAGGAGTGGGTGGGAGCTGAGAGGGGGTGGCAGGTACTCACAAAGCAGATGCCCGCGCGGCGCCGGGGCACGAGGGTGCACACGTTTGTGGGGCGGCAGAGGGATGTCACCACGGTCACGTTGAGCTGCTGGAGGACTCTGGGTGGTGGCTGGTTTGTGCCCAGCCGACCCCATCCCATGGCCAGGCACCGTACCCCGTCACCCACACCTTGGCCCTGCTCGGGCAGGCTGGCCACCTGCACGTTGGCGTTGATGGTGGCTGACCCGTTGAGCTGCAGTGGGCAGGACAGAGCATCAGAGTCACATGGGGCAGCGGGTGCCGACTCTCCCCGCCCTGGGCCTGTTTCCCCATCGGAGGCCCCAGGATAGTTCTGGGATTTTATGGAGCTGCATGGCCACCTGCCAGATGCTCCCCACCCTGAGCGTCTGTGTCCCCATTTGTGCAGGAGATGCAACCACAGTGGCTCAGGGTGAACTTGAACGTGTCTTGAGTGCAGTGAACAGTAGGTACCAAACTGTGGGCAACACCAACGACAACAGAGCCCTTGTTCCGGAGCCTGACAGAGAGTGATCATAGCTCCGCAAGCCGTGGGGGAGGGACGGTTTCTCCCTCCAGCCTCCCCCAGTCTGAATGTGGGGCACTTTGCCCCAGTTCACAGACAGGGACTGTCCCTGCCCTCTGCATCCTCTTGTTCACGCGCACAACAGCCCTGCCAGGTGGGGCTGATTTCCTCGGTCACACAGGTGGAGACGGAGGCACAGAGATGACCTGCCCCGTGAGAGCCAGGTGTGGCCTCCGGCCTATCGCCCCTGCTTTGCCCTTCCCCACCTCAGGCCCCAGGCCTTTACACCCGTGGGCATCCCTTCCCTGCCCCGGGCACCCCTTGGCCGCCCGGCTGGCCGCCCACCTGCAGGAGCACGATGTCATTCAGCAGCTGCTGGGCATCGAAGCCGTTTTCAAAGACTTGCTGGACCCTGAACAGCTGCCTGGTGGGCTCACGCCGGCCCAGGTTGTGCGCCCCCAGCACCACCTGCACCGTCTGGAAGTTTCTGCAGCAAAGTGGGTGCAGGAGGTGATTCGAGGTGGCTCTTGGGTTTGGGGGTGGGAGAGAAACCCCAGAGCTCAGCCGAGCCCAGGCCCAGGCCCACGGGGGGCCTCACCACCCAGGACCGATCTTTGGGCTCCTTGGCTGAATGCCTGGTGAAGAAGGTGCATGAATGGGGGCGCCCTGGAGGGGCCCAGACCCTGGTCTCACTCCCCTCCCCCGCCACCCCGACTCGCTTTGACAGACATGGGAATGGAGGGGAGAGGGAGGGCATGCCCGGGAGTCACTCACATGCCATTCACACAGTGCGCGGCCGACATGACAAAGTTCGGGGCCACCAGGGTGCCGCCACAGAAGTGGCCTCCACTCCGCTGCAGGGACACCATGAAGGGCCACGCGTGGGGCTTGGCCTGCCGGCCACCCACAATCTCGGAGGCCAGCACGGGGCCTGGAGACAGTCGGGGGGAGTGTGGTGGTGAGTGTCATGGAGGGCCCCTACCCCACTGGGCCAGTTGGCCCTGGAACTCC